AATGACAATGCCCAGAAGAGTTAAATAATACAATGGAATTGGCTTACATAGGGTCATGCTACCCGGAGAATGTAAGGAGGGGATACTCATGAGAAGGGAGCCTCTTTCTCACTAGTACTGACTTTGGAACTGCACAAGGAGCTGCCAGATTCTATTGTCACTTGGACAGTGGCACATAAGCCGCTCTCCACTAATCAACAAAGAGCTGCCCTGTTTGTGGACAGCAACTCCAAGGTAAACAGACAACATTCTGTTTGGAAGGTCATCACTCTGACTGAAAAAGGTAAAATCCAAAACACCTCTGTGGAATGAACTGCAAATTGTTTTCCCAGCAAGGATAGAAAAATTGAATAGTAGTAAAACTCCCTGCTTTCATAGGCAGTGGCCAATGGTCTGCCTTTCTGCATCTATAGAGATGATTAGATTGCTTTTCTTTCCTGGTCTGGTAATAAGAAGAAACATACTGATTTTCAAATCTTAAACCAACTTTGCATTCTTGGAGTAACCTCCTTGGTCCCTTTCATACACTGTTAGGTTCTGTTTGTTCACATTTTTTTTTAAAGAATATCCTCATCTGTGCTCATGAGATATACTATTCAGTAATTTTCTTTTCTTATGTCTTTGCCTGGTATTTACATTAGGATACTTCTGGTGTTTTTTTTTTTTTCAACCAGCTTTCTTTGAGTTTGAATATTCTCAATTGCTATGTGTTCAATTTCACTGACCTTTTTTCTTCTGTTTATTTACTCTTAAGCTCACTCAGATATTTTTCATGTTAAATTTTTATTTATTTTTTATACTTCACTTTTCCTCCTCTTAGTATTCAAATTTTCTTTAAAATCTTGAATCATATCTATAAAAAATGTTTTTAATTTTCCCCTACTAACTCCATCATCACTATCATTTCTGGGTTTGTTTCAACTGTCTGATTTTTCCGTTGGTTATAGATCATATTTTTCTGCTGCTTTTCTCATCTATCAACCCATCATATAACTGAACATATTGTTGGGTGTAGACTTTGTTGTCTTTTTTTAAGAGTGCTTTGTTTTTCTCTGGCAGACAGTTTTTGCAGAGCAGCTTGATCATTTCAAGACTTGTTTTCTAAGCTTTGTAGGGTTGCTTTGAAGAAGCCTTTAATTTAGGGCTAATCTCTTCTGGTTCTTCTGGCATCTGCAGTGAAAGCCCTAGGTATTATGTTCTTTCCACTGTTTAGAATTTAAATATTTTCCAACCCTGTGTAAGCTCATGTTGTTCAGTTAGCAGCTCTTCGGTATTTGGCCTCAAGGAGTCTCACCCTAGGCATGTACAGCTTAGTATTCAGCCTAAGACTCAAGAAACTCCTATGAAGATTTCTGGAGTTCTTTCTAGATGTAACTGCATTGTTCTGCCCCCAAACCTCAGGCGTCTCAGTCTCGCTGCACTCTGATTTCTGTCTCCTCCATCCAATGAAATTGCTGAGCTGTATGTGATTCCCCTATGCTACTCCAGTAAATGCCTCCAGGAAGAAAGGCAGGGACTCTGTAGAGCTTGTTGCGTGCTTGACTCAGCACACAGTGTGATCTGATGGCAAACAGCGGGGCCACTGGAAATGCAGCCGGGCCTGCCTCCCCACCCACCACCCCATGCCTCCCCGACCTCCTTGCACCCCCCAAGGGCCCACAGCAGTCCAGTCACCCTGCCTGTGCCCTACTGGGGAGACCCTCAGATGTAGGCACACTGGAGGCAGGTCTCTGAGAGGGGAACTCCAGAGTCTGAGGGTGGTGCTCGTGTGGGCTGGGGCAGGCCACATCAGTGTGCGGTTATCTACTCGAGCACATGCCCTGTGTATGTATGCAGGCCCATTCACATGTCCGTGTATATGAGCGGTAAGCTGCCCACCAAGGGTGGACTCAGGGTTGCCAAAACAGAGGCTTCTCCCAGTTTGGGGTGGTCCAGCATCTCTTCACCTTGGGAACCCTGATTACAATCCTGAGAGGTCTCTGCCAACACCCCCTCAAGGCTGCCCTCTCCTAATCGATGTACCAGGCCTCATCCCTGGATCCACTGAAATCTTCCCTAAGGGTGTCTGTGCCTGGCACGACATTTAGGGCAGCCCTGCCCATGCCCACAGGGCCAAGTGGAGACTGGCCCTATGGCAGGACCCCTCTGAGGGGTCCTGGCCTCCCAAACTCCCCATACTGGCCACTGTGGGCATCTTCAACACCACCTCCCTGAATACACTCTTATTCATTCAAGAAACAACTACTTTCGTTCTCTCCTGCAACAGCCCTCCCTGCCTGCCCTGGGTCCATCTCCTCCAGGAGGTAGAAGGCTGTCTGCTCTGCTCTGTGGCCAGGGGAGACGTTTCTTTGGGCAAAGAAATGGGCTTTCTTTGGGCTTTGGGCAAAGCTGTGTTGACTAGAAAAGGCTGGCGTCCTCTCATGGATCTGTGATTCTTACAGCAAGCCAGCTTCCTTCTTCCCCTGGGCCACTAGGAGCACCCCTCACCCCCGCCAGGTTGTGGCTGTTCTCAGTCCCTTTGTTCCAGTCTCCACCATGTTCCTCAAGCCCCTGGAGGAGGCATGGCCAAGAGGAACCAGGTGACAAAGCCCTCTCATTTGTTCCCTCCTTTCAAGGACCAGGATCCTTGCCATTTTTTGTCTAAAGGTCTAGAACAAACTGTTTCAAATTTCCCCCACATTTTTCTATTGTTTATGGTTGGTGAGCTACTCTGGTACCAGTTACTCTGTCCTGACTCAGAATATAAGTTTCTGCTTATAAACTTTTCTATCATGTCTTCTTCACTTATAATTCCACTGTCTGGATCTTTCAACATTATTTTACATTCCCCTATTGCTGGACCTCTAGGCTACTTAGAGTTATTTCCTATTATAAATAATGATGCAATGAATATCTCTGTAAAAACAAGCATTTGAGTATAATTTTTAAATTAAAAGGTAGACTACCTAAATGTTCATCAATAGGGATGTAGATAGGCAAGTTTAATAAATTTATAGCCATATGTTATGGGTTAAATTGTATCCCTCTCAAAAGATAGGTTAAAGTCCTAACACCCCCTAAGGCCCGGTACTTCAGAATGAGACTTCATGTGGAAACAGGGGTGTAGGCTGATATAATTAGTGAAGTTACGTGATACCATTGGGGTGGGCCCTAATCCACTGTGACTGATGTTCTTATGAAAAGGAGAGATCTGGACACAGAAACAGACACACACACACACAGAAGAGATGGCATAAAGACACACGGAGCAGCAAACTGCAGAAGCTGGAAGAGGCAAGGAAGGGTTCTCCCCTGGAGCTGTCAGAGAAAGCATGGCCCTACTCACACCTTAGACTTCTAAGCCTCCAGAATGGAGTGACAAAATATTCCTGTTATTTTAAGCCGCCCATTTTTGGTACTTAGTTACATTTGCCTTAGGAAACTAATACATCATAAAATAAAGATTAAGTGATTATTGTAAATCATGTTGCCAAAAATTTCCCATGCTCATTATAATGTGTGAAACAGGTACTATTATTATTTCCATTTAATAAATGTGGAAACTGAAGTCCTAGATTTAATAATTTGCTCAAGATGGCATACATGGTAAGTGGTGGAACATGATTTGAATCCAGGTATTAATAATCTTGTGTGCTCTTAATCACTATGCTACACTAACTCTTAATTTTTAAAAGCTATAAGCTTTTTAGTGCATTAAAACTTTCTAGTGCAAACTGAGAAGTAAATTCCATTTAAATATAAACAGGGCAGCAAGAAAATAGGAACCTGAACTACCTGAGTTGGAGATAAAATAATCTAACAATCTCCAAATTACAGTGCATTATAGAATAAATTCCTCAAGGTACTCATTTCACAGAGTAAACCTGAAAAAACACCAACACCTAAGAGTAGTCACAAAAATGGCACCAGTTAAATGAAAATGCACTATTATTTATTCATTATGTTTTATTTTCTCCTGTGAGTCTGTGAAAAGTAATGAGGAAAGAAGACTGGAGATTAGAGGCTGGGTATAAAATTGGATAGACTGTTTAAAAAAAAATACTGAGAGTTCTCAGAACCTAAAGGTACAGAAAAAGGAAAAAAAAATTTATAGCAGAGGCAGCTTAGTGCAGCTAATGAGGCAGTCTTATGTTTATGAATGAGCAACTCTGCTCCAGGAATTTAGTGGGAGGAGGCAGAAAAGCTTCCAGGTGGAGGTTTAGGCGGGTACAAGGTGGTTTTCTCTGTCGCTTTCCATTCCCTAAACCATCTTCCTCCATCCACCTGACAAAGAAGAACTTTTGTTGAGTTCTCTTTTTGTGATATGTGTTCATCAAAGAATGCAACAAGAAAGAATATAACAAAACAGTACAGCTACTTGCTAAAAAACTATTGTTAAAAAAATGACTCTCACATTCTTGTATAAGGCCATGTATAACAGAGCCCCTATTAAGGCTCTATAAAAGAAATTTAACTTGTAGTTAATTGTACAGAAAAGCTTTATAGCCCTTTGAGGATATATAACGTTCTTCCCTCTTATATATAGAAAGAGAATCATGTAGCAGATTACTTGCAGCCCAGTCACAGAGAGTATATCAATTACTATGAATGGCCTACATATCTAAATTCTACTATCTTCCCTCTATCTTTTAATTTTTTCAAATTATTTTTCCTTGGTTCTGATTTTTAATTTAAGAAAATATAATTTATACTTTACTATTAAGGTATATTTATGTTTCATTTTAATATTTAAAATCACCTATGGAATGAGTTTATATTAATAAATACTGACAAAAGAGTTACATCACATCACAGCCTTCAAAAAAGAATCATATGAAAAATAAAAAATGACATGAAACCTGATTTAAATACTTTACTTCTCCACACACTATGGGTGCTGGCAACAATGTCCTAAACACTGAATATACATACTATTTTAATTTTAAGCTTCTTTTTCTCCCAGAACAATATAGTTGAAGGACAAGAATTACATTCAAACACAGTTCTCTTTTGGTACATACGATTCTTGCTGCAGACATGTTGCATGGCCCAAACTGCCCATAGCTGGACTCCAGGTGTTGTGAAACAGCCAAGTAACGGGAAAAATGGATTAAAGGACCTGAAAGTTCAAAAGAAAAGAATAAAAATTACATCCTATACTTTGTGTCATTTTCTAAAGCAATGATTCCTGAGCTTTTCACTCCAGAAATTTCATCCTTCTATTTTTAAACTAATATAAATGACCCTCTATAGAACATCATTTCTTTGTCTTAGCCATCTGATAAAGGATTATATTCAAACAAAAGTGTTGGTGCAGAAGATAGAAGGTGATCAGGACAGTGTACTTTTTCTCAAAAGCACCTTTTGGTCTTGAATATACACATTCTGAAGAACAGTAGACCTTGGTTTGGAAACCTAGAAAAGAAGTTAGTTGATAACTAACCAATAGAACATCATGAAGGAGGTCCAGAATTTAGCCTATTTCTACTAGTCTTCTGCCCAAAAATGTGTTAAACATATTGGAATAAAAAGTACTGGCAGCATCAGCATTTATAAAGTAGACAACAAAATAAACTGTAATGATAATATTTATGCAGCAATCTGGTATACTTCAGGTATATTAGTAACTTATCTATTAAATCACTTGTCATAAATAAAGTTAGAATCCAGTATGCACTTTAATAATTACAAACTGCTTCCCTAAACACATCAGGTGCTGCTTCTAGTTCTTTAAATATGTTGTCTCGTTTTACACCTCCTTGCATTAACACTCTTCCTAAAATCTTATCCCTACTTAAAACTCAGCTCACAATCTACTTCCTCTGGAAGTTTTTCATTATTTTCCAGTGCAGATTTAAGTACTGTCATCTTTTTTAAAAAAAGTATCTTCATCTTTGATTTTAGAGCATTCTATGAAATTAGCATAAGAGTGAATTATATCTGATTTACATTTGGTTTCCCTCACTAGGCTGTAAAGTTCTTGTTTGGAGGCACCATATCTTATTCATCTTTGAATTTCAAGAGGACAGAACAAGACTTTGGCACCTGTCTTCAATGAACATGAAAGAAGGACTGATGAATGATAGGTAGCAAAATAAAGTAAAAACATAGATGCCTGGAGAAGGAAATGGCAACCCACTCCAGTACTCTTGCCTGGAAAATTCCATGGATGGGGGAACCTGGTAGGCTACAGTCCATGGGGTCGCTAAGAGTCGGACACGACTGAGCGACTTCACTTCACTTCACCGTACTTTGGGCGCTAGCAGGGAGAGGAAGTTTTGGGTACTGATTATAGTATCTATTTCTATTTAATGGAGCCTTATGTGGTCATTTAATATAATTGTGAAGATTATAGCCAACTAATACTTATTAAATAAATAAAATAAAAATAGTTCTGTATTATAATTGTGCATGAGGGCTTCCGGATGGCTCAGTAGGTAAAGAATCCACCTACAATGTAGGAGACATGGGTTCAGTCTCTGGTTGGGGAAGATCCCATGAAGGAGGAAATGGCAACCCACTCCAGTATTCTTGCCAGGAAATCCCATGGACAGAGAAGCCAGCTGGGCTATAGTCCATAGGGTTGCAGAGTCGGATATGACTTAGTGACTGAGAGGGAGATGAAGATTAGAAACATGTTTTCTATGCTTAAAGAAAACTAGGAAGCTTAGTTAAATATAAACCAGATTTATTATTGTGAATTGAATTATTGAATTTCTTTTTCTTCTGTTTTGTACAATTCATAAAGTTTAAATGAAAATCCACATACACTTAAATTGTTTTGAAAAATAAGATGAACACATATTAACTAGAAAAAGGTAATAGTGTATCATCAAAGGAAAAGAGCAAAGGTGTACTTGCAGGACAGTAGATAGATTACCTTGGCTGGAAGAACACTGAGAGATGAAGTTTAGAAAAAGATGGGAATGAGAGTCTCCAGTTTTGATAATGTGAGAAAAGATGAGCTTGGTTAGGCTTTTAACTGTGAAATTACAGTGGGTTTTTTTTTTTAATAAAAAAAATTTTTTTTATTTGAATTTTTTTTTAATTTTTTAAAAAATTTATTTTTTAATAAAATTTCTTTCAGCTTATTTAAGTGAACTGGAGTGAGGGGCCGTTGAGCTGGTCCATTGTGTTATCAGCCATTTTCATGTATAATCTTGAGTTTATGTCTATATTAGGCCCTATCTGAAAGACTTTGCTCCTTTTACTAATTCAGTAAGTCTGTAATTTTGCAAAATTTATGTTCTGATATTTTTGTTTTTCATATATCTTTAAAATGTTGCCTCTGATTTCCACTCTTGCCTTCTCTTGTCCTTAGAGTTAGCCTAGATAGCAAATGCTTTACTTCTTGACATAATGGAGTGATAGAAGAAATAAAAAAGAATCTGATTTGATTGGGCAGAGATTGAAAGGGAGAAAAGCAAGTCAGTCTCCATTAGTTGCTGAATGGGTGAGAGCATTAGAAGAGCTTTCTTGTAATGATTTCTCAATTTAATTTTCATGAACCTTTTAGGAATAGAGAGCACATCCTTCTTGTTTTTTAATCTCAAAGAAAATAGATGTAATTTGAAATTAAATACACCAAGTAGGGATGTGAAATTTTAAAAAGATGCCTGTAAACATATTATGAACTAATTCTTAAGTTATCTGTATCATGTTGAACAAAGAAGAATTAAAAAAACAATAACTTTAAAAAAAAAAAAAAACATAGATGCCTAAGGGAAAACAATCATACATCTAATAGGAATGACCTCTAGGCAAGCAACATGACTAGGTTACTGGCTTAATATTAATTATCTTGCTAATTACCTGTATGCTACCATCTCACACTCTGGAGTTGGCCATTTCAAAATAGCTGAATGCTGAAAGACACAAGACACACAAGAAAGGATTACAATATTTATTTAGTATTGCATGATGAAGCTTTGATAGTTTAATCATTATTAATGTTTGTATTCTTCCAGGAAACAGCAAGTTACCCTACCAGATCATCCAAAAGAGAATTCCTCTGGCTGCGACTCAATGTCCAAGCTTGTTCACCTCTAGATATTAAGTGGGCAATAATTCCAGCTGCAAAGTAACTGACTTCCACTTCAACACTATGTAGAAGACTACTGATGTGGTCTATAAAATCCTTCCACATTAATTCAGAATGCAATTCTTGTACTTCAGCTATATTGTTCTGGGGAAAAAAAATATAAAAATTAAAGTAATATGTATAGTAAATGGCTAAATGACACTGCAATGATTTAATCATGTATGGACAAAAGGTGAAGACTGTTGCTATGTTAGCACTGTGGGATTATAGGTGATTTTATTCCTCTCCACCCCAAGCAATAAAATAAAAGAAATAGTAATTTCTTTTCAAGTGAAATAGTGAACTAGATAACCTAAAAATTTCCTGCTGTACAATATCTAGTTGTGCTGGGTGAAAAATAGCAAATAAACTTTAAATATGTAACTTTTTTACCTGGGATAAAATGTAAACAGGAAATCAAACTAGAGCCTAACAGGCTATCTCTGGCTCACAGCAGTGGGGGGTGCACAGGGTGCAAGAGAACTGGGTTTAACAGCCATGCAAGGTCAGAAGTAAGGACCAGAGATACTAAGACTTTGCATACAATGCAAGAATTTTCAAAGCATTACACCTCAATAAAAGGGTGGCCTGACAAAGAGACACAAGAAAGAAGCCTACTGTGATCTGGGCTCTGGCCTAAAAGGAAAAGTCTTCCTTTATATACATAAGGAATTTATAAACAGGGGCCTGCCCTCAAGCAAGACTATAGTTCAAATTTACACCATCTGTGTGGTCTGGAGAAACTCCAGCCTGAGAGCAACCATAAGAGAGGTAGGAGGAAAACAATAGGAGAGGTAAGGGGAAAGTTTGGTATCTACAAAGCAGAGATAGGTGAGTACATCAAAAGGGTGAAAGGAGTACTTCCCTGGTGACCCAGGGGTTAAGAATCCACCTGCCAATGCAGGGAACACGGGTTCAATCCCTGGTCCAGGGAGATTCCACGTGCCATGGGGCAACTAAGCCTGTGCCCCACAGCTACTGAGCCCTACACTCTAGAGCCCGTGAGCCACAATTACTGAGCCTGTGTGCTGCAACTACTGAAGCCCACACTCTCTAGAGCACATGTTCTGCAACAAGAGAAGCACTGCAATGAGAAGCAAGTGCACTGCAACTAGAGAGTAGCCCCTGCTCACCACAACTAGAGAAAAGCCCATGCAACAGTGAAGACCCAGTATAGCCAAAAACAAGCAAGTTTTTTTTTTTAAAAAGGGTGAAACGATTAGTAGTTCTAAGTAATGTGGAGAGCCTAAGTAAGATGAAGACAGGAAAGCATTCATTTACATGAGCAATATAGTGATCCTGTCTTAAAAACTTCATAGCCTAGGACCTCCACTGAATGTCAAAATTTGCCTGCTGGCCTGTGGAAGGTAGGTGTTTTATCTGGAGTTGGGATATGATGGCTTGCCTAGGCAGTATATAAGGAAGACCTCTATTCACATGGGAAACAATTGAGGGGTTTACAATTTAGGCTATGCTTGATTTTCTCCAAAACAATATAAGACCCAACTTACCTCACTATTGTGAAGATTAATCCTCTTTCTCAAAACTTCATCTGATCTACTATGAAATCATAATTCTTTTCCTAACACACTGATTCCAATTCTTAGGAGCCAAAAACCCTGGCCTTTTCATTGTTAAGAAACTATTCACTCCCTAGCTTAAGTCATTCTGTGACAAATGAAAATGAAAAGTATCACATCCAAATGCATCCTCTGTAAAGACTAAGTTCTCTTTTCCAACCGCCAAAAAGAGGGAAGACAGAAGAGACAGGTATAACTTTACCTGCTACATGAAATGTATATAATCCTGTATTTTTCCATCACCATAAATGATTAATCAAAGTCTCCTACGCCCCTCTCTAATCTCACATATTGAAACAAGAAAAGGCATCTCACATTTATTTTTTATATTCTTCCATATTCATATTTTTTACATAGCATGTACCATTTTACAGAGACAAAAAAAGGAAAAGAATATATGTCTTTTAAAATAAGCAAATAAGGGAATTCCCTGGCAGTCCAGTGGCTAGGACTCTGTGCTTTCACTCCAAAGGGCCTGGGTTCAATCCCTGGCTGGGGAACTAAAATCCCACAAGCTGTGTGGTGTGGTCAAAATAAATAAACAAACAAAGAAAGGTGGTTCTCTATTTCCTCCAAGCTTGGTAGAAAGAAATACAAAGACCCTCTGAGAAGGACACATCTTGAACTCAAAGCCCCACAGAAAATGCTAAATTACAATTCACAATGAAAATAATCCATAATGAGTAAGAATCATCAAATACACAGTAGTGAGTTAGACTCCCCCAAGAATCTCATGCAATATAACTACAAGATAGTACCTGATTTAAGAAGTTTAAAACACAGAGACACACATGAAAATGCAAAGACAGCATCATTAAAACACAACAAGAAACATCTGGAACAAAGTATCAAAAGAATTATGGGCCATTCTTTGTTGCAATAAACAAGTTACTGGGAAACCAGCCAAAATGAGAGAATGGACAACTAGCTATACAGGGAATGTGATCCCTGTATAGATATGAGAAAAGATATTCAAATAGGGCAGTTTCTAGATTGCTGTGCACATAAAGAGGAATCTAAAGAGAATCTGACAGTTTTGCTGAGTTGAAGAGAATAGGATCAGTGTGTAGGGTGGCTAAGGCAGCAAAAATCTATAGAACAGAGTAATGAAAAGGAAAAATTTCCCAAGAAAAAGACATCTGCAGAGGGATCCCCTAAAATCTTGGCTGACTACTGATATGAAATGAAACCCCATGAATCTAGGGAAAGAACCACCAGAAAGCAATACATGAACAAATCCCAAAGTCACACAGGTTTAGGAATAGTTTACATTCTTACCAACCAGAGTGAAGGGATCTCATCTAAACAAAACATTTGAGTATAGTGAGGTAACTAGGGTTAAGCAGTAGGGGAAAGGCTGATCTGAAGCTACTCTAACAAAGCAAATATAGGCATACCCTGGAGATTATGAGTTTGGTGTCTGACAATCACAAAAAAATGAATACTGCAATCAAGGGAACCACACAAAACTTCTTAGTTTCCAGTACACACACAAGTTATGTTTATACCATATATATTGTAGTCTAATAAGTATGCAATAGCATTATGTTAAAAAAAAACACACTGTACATAACTTGTACATAACATAATAAATACTTTATTGCTAAAAGACTCTAACTATCATCTGAGCCCTTGAATGAGTTACAGTAGTAACATCAAACATCACTGATCAGAGATCACCATATCAAGTATAACAATAATGAAAAAGTTTGAAATGTTACAAGAATAATCAAAATGTGACATAGAAACACAAAGTGAGCTAATAATGTTAGAAAAATGGTGCCAACAGACTTGCCACAAATCTTCAATTTGGAAAATAACACAGCATTTGTGAAGTGAATAAAATGAAGTATGCCTATAAGTAAGCTTTGAATGGAACAACCTGATCCGTGAGTAGGTTAACTGAATACCCAGACAAAGTCCAAGACTCTTAAAAGGAAAACAATAAAATCTAGTAATCAACAAAGTGAATTAAATTTCACAATAGCTACAACCAGTGAAAAATTACCAGACATATAGAGTCAGGAAAATACGATCCTTAACCGGGAGAAAAGTCAATCAATAAAAATAGATCCAGAAATGACAGGGATAATAGAACCAATACATAAGGATTTAAAACAGCTATTATAAATGTTATACATATATTACAGAATGAAAGAAAAATATAAGCCTGAGGAGAAAAAAAAAAAGACAATATAAAAATGACCTAAATGTAACTTCCAGAAAGAATATATATATTATACTATATGTATATAATTATAGTAAATATATCTATATATAAAATGAAAAATGAAAAAACAGTAGAAAACATTCAAGCCGAAACATGGAAAGAAAAAAAAAAACTGCCAAAAAGCCAGTAGTGTATTCTGTCACGTGACCTGTGTGATAATTTCAAGCAATCTAATATACTTGTAATCAGGTTCTCAAAAAGAAAGGATATAAGAAAGGATACAGAAAAACATATCTGAAGAAATAACAGCAAAAATTATTCCAATTTATGAAAATTATAACCAAAAAACAAAACATAAAAAATGTCCACTTGGACTTCAATAGTGACCAAAAAATTTATCTTTTGAAAATGAAATAAAGACATTTTCACACAGACAAAACCTAAATGAAAATTTATTGCCAAACCTACACTAAGAGAAATTTTTTTTTTAAGTAGTATGAGAAATACATTGTTGTTGTTGTTCAGTTGCTAAGTCCTGTCCAAATATTTGCAATTCCACGGACTATAGCACACCAGGCTTTTCTCTCCTCCACTGTCTCCCAGAATTTGCTCAAACTCATGTCCATTGAGTTGGTGATGCTATCTAACTATCTCATTCTCTGCCACTCTCTTTTCCTTTTGCCTTCAATCTTTCCTAGCATCAGGATCTTTGGTAAGTATAAAAGACAAATTTCTCATTCTTAAATCTGTACAGTGAAAAACTGATGAGGACTCCTACTTCTGACCAAGACGAAATAAAAGGGGCCAGACTTACTTTCCATTCTAAAACAACTGAAAAAATACAACATGAAGCAATACTTTTCAAGATACTAGACATTAGGTAACAAAAAACAGTGACCTTTAGAGGTGGATAACAAACAAGAGGAGATGCTGCCTTGAGAGTTTCCAGGCTGTGGCACAGTGATATAATATTGAAGTAGAGCCCAGTGGACTCATGGAGTTGAAGAGATGGAGTTGGGAATCTAGGGAGATCAAGGCGAGTCCCAGGACAGAGAACTAGAGAGAAGAGAACTGTACACGAAGAGAATCCAGAGAGCTGCAGGGCATAGCACCCATTCAGCAGAGTACTGGTCAGAGCATGACTGTGAGAAAACTATTTGAAGGCAGAAAACGAGCTATTAAAAAGATTAAAGTTCCTGACACTCACAAAGGGCCAGGAATAGTGCCTACTTTCACCATCCAGTCTGAGAAAACTCTTTCACAAGGCATTGAGTACTCAGGAAGGTCTTGTTTCAGTAGTACAGAATAATTAGCCCTAGCCTCGGCATACTCTGGATCCTCCTAATACATCACAAAGTAAGATCAAATAGGATCAGACTGTTTAAAAGTCAGTCAGTTAATCCTGGAACAAAATTCAAGAATATGTTATAGGAAAATAAAACTATCCAGCACCCAACAAGGCAAAATTCAAAATGTCTGGCATCCAATCAAAAACTACCAGGCATGCAAAGTAACAGGAAAACAAAACTCAAAATGAGGGGAATAATCAATCATTTGAAATTTACCCAGAACTAATACAGATGTTAAAATTAGCAGAGAAGGACAGTTATTATGAATAAATTTCATATGTTCAAAAAGTTATGTAAAAATATGGAAGATATAAAAAAGACCCAAATTGAAGTTTTAGAGAGGAAAATGACATCTAACGATAAAAACTATATACTAGCTGGGATTAATAGCAGATTAGACATTGAAGAAGAAACAATTACTAAATTAGAAGGCATAACAATGGAAACAATTCAAACTGAAACATACACAGAAAACAAAAGAAAATTTAAAAAGCACGAATGAGTTGTGAATTTCAAGCAGCTTAACTTATGAGATAGAAGTCTCCAAAGGACTCCAATGGGTTGGGGGTAAGGGGGTGTAAAACATTTTTTGTTTCAAGAAATAATGGCCTAACACTTTTAAAACTTGAAGACTATAAACCAAGAAGTTCAATGAATCTCAGATACAGGAATCATGGAGTAAATTACATTAAAACACATCATAATCAAATTATACAGAATTGTTGTTGCTAATCCTAAATCTTAAAAGTAGTCAGAGGAAAATCATATACATACAGAGGAATAAAGATAATGATGACATCAGATTTCTCATCGGAAAGATGGCAAGTCAGAAAAAAGGTAATCAACATCTTTAAAGTACTATCAACCTAGAGTTCTAGAGCTGGCAAAAAAGAAACTTTCAAAAATGAAGATTAAATAAAGATGTTTGCAGACATACAAAAGCTGAAGAATTCATCAGTAGCAGACAGACCCACACTATGAAATATGTTAAAGAATGCTTTTTCAGCAGAAGGAAAATTATACCAGTTAGAAATCTGGATCTACACAAAGGAAAGATGAGCATCACAAATAGTAACTATTTGGGAAAACATGTAAGGTTTTAAAAAGTATTTAAATCTCCGTAAAAGATAACTGATATAAAAAACAATGTTTATTGGTTTATTACATATATAAAAGTAAAATACATGACAATGATGACATAAAGGAAAGAGCAGAAATGGAAATCTACTATTTTAAGTTTTTTATAATATATATGAAATAAAAAAAAATAATATATATGAAATCATATAAAATCACTTAAAGGCAGACTGATTAAAAATGTATACTATAAATTCACAATAATCATTAACTTAGCACATCAGAGTAATAGCTAGTAAACCAAGAAAGGAGATCAAACAACATTATTAATTCAAACCAAAAAAAAGCAGAAAAAGAAAAAAAAAAAACAACAGATGGGACAAACAGAAAATAAATACCAAGTTGATGAACTCAAATATAACCATACCAATAACTACATTAAATGTAAACAATCCAAACAGTCCAAATAAAGAGGAGAGCTTCTCATACTGGACAAAAAACAGGGTGCAAAGTATATGCTGTCTATAAGAAACACACTTTAAATATAAAGACAAATATAGGTTAAAAGTAACAGAAGGGAAAAAGATAAACCATGTCAACGTTAGTCAAAAGAAAGCTAGACTGGCTATATTAAGGAGAAAAAGAAGATTTCAAAGTAAAGAATACTACCAGGGATAAAGAAGGTCATTTCATAATGATAAAGGGATCAATTAATTGAGAGGGCATAACAATTCCATTTTTGAACCTAATAACAGAGTTTCAAAGTACAGGAAGCAAAAACTGATAGAACATGATAAATGCTACCTAACAGAACAAGTAGGCAGAAAATCAGTAAGTCTATGGTAGATGTGAATATCAACCAATAGATACATATAGAACACTCTTAACAAAAGCAGAATATTCATTCTTCTAAAGAGCACATGGAGCATTGACCAGGAAAGACCATATCCCAGGCCACATATGTCTCAATAAATTCAAAAGGACTCAAAGTACTTTCTCTGATCATGAAAAATTAAACTAGAATCAATATCTCAAAATAAACTATCAAAAAAATTCAATCACAAAGTAAAGGAAAAAGCGGAAAGAAGCACGTCAGGATGTATTAACATTAATTCACAAAATTAAAATAAAGGAACGTTGGGGACAAAACCTTACACTTTTTAAATACATTTTTGCACTGCTTCACTAGGTATAGTAAGCATATATTCTTTAAGAAATTTTTTTTAAAAAGCAATTTTAAAGCCCTATGTGATCTTTCTGAATATTTAAAATAAATTCCCCTTTTCCTCTTATAATGACTTAGGCCAAATTTCATATCTAATAATCCTATGAACCATGAATAAAACAATCAAATACTGTAATTTACTTAACATTTCCCTATTACTGGGCATTTAGATAGCTTTACATTTTCTGCTTTATATAACTAAAACTATAGTAAATAGATACTACAGTTTTTTAGGTTTTGTTTTTGTCTTTTGGTCTTTTGGCCACAACCCACTGCATGTGGGACCTCAGTTCCCAGACCAGGGATCAAACCTATGTCCCCTGCACTTGTAGCAGGAAGTTCTAACTACTGGACCGCTAGGGAAGTCTCTAGATTGTCCTCTTTAAATGCCAGCCCTCAGCTTTCGCAAAAATCCATCTCTCATGTTTCTGAATCTAGAAAATAAACATTAATCTACTCTTCTTTTACAATTTACTAATCTATGCCTCCTGTGATCTAATTCTTCAAGAGCAGAGGTCTGCTCTAAAATAGCATCTTCTGTACAGGCACTTCTTCTGTTGCAGTAATTAAAAGTGATAAAATATCTGATCTTCCTCTGTGTCTTAAAATCCTAGAGGGCTCACTTTAACATATATTCAGTATACTTATGGAATATCTGATTTGTTAAAGAGTTGTTTAAGTAGTAATTATCAATTATCAGACATAGAATCTAAGAATACTTGTAGGTTAGTGACATTTTTCATGAGATCTTTTTTTTTCTGATTATACAAGTAAAACATGTTCACAGTGAAGCTTTGTACTATACCACAAAATATAAAGAAAAGTATGTAATTTATATTCTTCCTTTCAGTATGGTGAAAACCTAAATATGTATATGTAACTTTGTAGCCTGCTTTTTTACTTAATTATATTGATATATATTTTTAACATCATTATGTGTTTACAAACAGAGTAGCATTTTTCTATGTAATATCTCAGATGGAAAATAATTACAGCTTGAACTTAGTGGGAAATGCTTGTATCTTACCAAAAGTCCTAGGACTTTCTGTTGAATGGATGACTCGGTTGGGAATGACTATAAAAAGAAAGAGACATCTATAACTAAAGAACCAAATGTAATAAACAAATGCTCAAATCAATCAATAAATGAATGTCCAAAGCTGTAGGCTAAATTCCCATTCTAACCTCTAGAACCCTCATGAAGAGTTCTAACCCTTGATTTTCAATAAAGTGTCTGCAAGTGGTTGGAGATTCATCTGTGAGGTTCCAAAGTGCACTCAAAGTAAACTTCAAAGTAGTGTCCACTGAATTTTGATTGGTTTTCTGCTTCACTATTTGAAGAAGTTGCTGAAAGAGGAAAATAGAATTTCTAATTACTGAATTGTTATTATAATTAGTGGTAATAACATGGACTAATAAGTCCATGAGGATTAGTTTCATGAGTTCAAACATTTCCTATAAAGTGCAACAAACAGCCTATTGGATTAGACTTTTCCTTTCACAAGAAAAAAATAGAGGATTTTCATAAATACTTCTATAATATTCTGATCCCTTCCACAAGAAAAAAAGAGAATTTTCACAAATACTTCTATAATATTCTTATCATATCTATAATCTAATCACCTGTAAATAAAATGAAAAGCAAACTGATTAAAACTTAGGATCAACTATGTTACCCAACAGGTCACAACACACACTCACTTCAGATCCTGGGATAAAAAAGGTGGAGGGAATGAAGGGGGAATGAATCCAATACTACATATCAGCAAATTATATCCTATATTGTAATACTGTTGTCCTCATTTTTCAGAAGAGGAAAGTGAGTCCAAGTAATATTAAGTAATTTATCATAGCCAACTTAGTAAGAGAAAGTAAAAATTGGAAGATCTAGTTCTAACCCCATGTTTTCCTTAAGAAAAAAAGAAAGGATGAACTATATACAATAGTAACAGAATTAAAGTCTAAATTGGATTTAATTAAGATTATAGCTTTGAATTTCCATTTGTAAATTATTTCTATCACAGCTTTAAACCTAAGAAATGTAAGCTTGAAAAATAAATATGTTAAGACCTACATGGGCCATCCATAATTCCAATTTTAGTTTACACTTTTGGGGGTAAATGAAGCTCTGCTAAAACAGACACAAGTAACATTAATAAGCACTATTACTTAACGTTATGTACAATGAAGGAAAAAATTTTTAAGAAACACAAACATCTAGTTGCAACTATGTAACTTAATAGCATAGTGGCCAGGAGTGTGGCAGTAGAATTGGGCTACCTGAACTTAATTAAGGGCTTAAAAAAAATTAGCTAGCATCACCATTACTACTACTATTAATTCCTGCTAATTGCTACTCAAATTAAACTTAATTTTCTCCCAAAGCATACAAGTGGACTACTTCCTTATAATCTTTGAATACACCTCTAGCCAAAATTACTGAAACTCATACACAGCAATAAAAAGTCATATTTAAAACTAAAATGTCATCCCTGAAGAGAGTAAAAATAAATAAAATCAGCAGCATTTTCTACTCGTCTAACATATGTGTTGGATTTTGTGCTAGGAACTTAGTATCTTCCTTCAATCTTTTTTCCCTTTTCAATCTTCATAACAACTGTATAAAGCATTTTTTATTACTTCAAAGGAAATTTAGGTGACTTGCCTGAAATCACACAGCTGCTGAGTGACAGAACTGGGAATAAGGCATGATTTCGACTTAGTCTCTTTAAAGATTTTAAGTTTTCACTGTTCACTATATTAATTCCTCAACGGAAGCAACCAAAAATCATAAATCAGCTATTTACATAATCTTTTCCCCTAAAGCATCTAGCATAGTCTTATGACTATAATAGAGACTCCACATTTTCTTAATAAATAACAAAATCACAGAATTATGTGAACTAGATAGGATTTAAGGTTTATTTGGGCCCCAATGGTCCAGGTAATTTATCTATATTCACACAGTGAGTTTACAAGTTAGACCCCGGGTCATCTGATTCCTAGTTCAGGAGTCTTTCCATCTCCTGTTAAAGAGTAAAGCTGCCCCAATGAAGAGAAATTAATACACTCACTTAGAAGTAACAAAAACAAACTTTTGAAATATAAAATCTCAGAAGATAGGCAACACTGCCTGAGAATAATTAAAATGAAAACTGTTTAGGGGTCTGCATAGACTTACCCGGACGATGAAGAGCTCAGCACCAAGCTGGGCTGTCTGTTCTGTAGAAAGCTGCAAGCAAGCAGGAGACAAGGTAAATGTCCAAACATCTACTAGTGTGAGTTTAATATCATTCACTGTAGCAGACTCCAAAGGTCAGACCACAATCTCTGATCAACCTGGAATTCTGCAATCCTGAATGCAGCTTGAGTAAGTTAACCTGGTTTACTAAACTGTCCGGGGAAACAGTTTCCTACAGAAAAGTATAACATATGAGTTCAGGTACCTTGGCAGCCAGAATGGAAATGATAGCAACTGCCATCCTCTGCATGTTTTGATCCTCATGGTTGCAGAGCCACTGCATGACAAGCTTGGCTGCTTCAAACCTGAAAACACACACAGAGTTTCATGAATTAACCCTGGAGGCCCCAGGAATAGTTTCAGAGCTCCAGCTGGGAAATGATGCTACAATTTAGATAGGTGAGAAAGAAAAGGAAAGCTCCTCCTAATTGACAGAGAATAACAAGGACACATAGTGTTTTGAAGATGGTATAATTAATTCTGACAACACTGTAAAGAAACAGAGAGTTTGGAAAATATGGTAAAAAATAGCTTGACATTCATCTTCTAGAGGTATAACATATTTCTATTCTGTAGTGATAATAATAATTTTAAGTATTTTCTGAGTTCCCGCCAGTACTTAGCACAATGGGAATACTCATTCTTTTACTCAAAAACATTTATGCAGCTTCTCCTTTGTGCCAGGTATTGTTTTGGGTGCTAGAGACAGATTAGCGAACAAAACAGAAAAACATCTCTACTCTCACAGAGATTACACTCTAGTGGGGAAGACAGGTAATAAATAAATAAGTGAAGTATATGGCATGTTTGGGTACTGACATATGCTAGAGAAAAAAATAAATAAAACAGGAGAAGAGAGGATATGATACATGGAAACTTTATTAGTCTCAAAACATGTCCATATATATCAAATAATATAACCTAGTATTAAAAGTTAAAAGCAAATTCTGAAGTTCTTTGAATTTGGGGGTTGGAATTCTAGCTCTACCTAATGTTAATGATAACAATAAAATACACTGTTTTATCCTGTGAGGCAATGTAGTCATGTCATTAAGAACATCATACACATTGGAATCAGCCTAGATTCAAATATCACCTTCACCATGTACTAACTTTGGGAACCTGGGTAACTTTCTTCATCTCTCTGAACTTCAATTTTTTTGTCTGTAAAATAATACAGTCTATTCCATAGGACTGTTGTGAGGATTATATCATATCACACATAAAGCTTAAGACTTAGTACAGACCTTGGCACATATCAAACTTTTGATAAAAGTTAACTTTTACTAGTATTGACTTCCTCTGTGCCTTTACTTGTGCAGTTCCCACAGAACAATCAACTCAGTCAATTTTCAGTTTCAAGGCAATATGACATGGATATAAAAAGTAGAAGCTCTGGAGTCAGTCTGGATTTAAATCTAAATTCTGCTACTTACTATCTTATGACTTTGAGCAAGCTACTACACTTCTCTGTGCCTCTGTTTCCTCATCTGTAAAATGAAGATTACAATAGTAACAATTTCACAGGACTGTTGCAAGGACTGAATAAACATATCTAAAACACCTAGCACAGTGTCTGGTAAGTGCCTCATACATTAGTTATTATTTTTATTATCTTAATGCCATCACTAAAATGAAATCTTTAATGATCACCAAGCCAATGAAATCTTTCTGGTCGTGCTTGGGGGCCCAGTACATTCTGTCTTCCTCTTCTATGAAAGGCTGTCTTCTGTTATACTCCTAATTCATTCATTCATCCATCCACCAAACAGCCACTGAAGTACTAAGCACTAGCGGCAAAGATTAATCAATCTCTGTCTCTCACCACAAAGAAGCTCAATTCTAGCAGACTGTACTCACTGGCTACATCAAGGGCAGACAATGGCCCACCTCAAGTGCTTTTATAGCTGTGGGCCTAGCTGTCTGTTTCTGAAGTTTTACTAGAACAGTTATCCCCTTTTTTCTTAAATAAAGTCTATGTCTGTGGCTGCTTTGGAGGGACAATGGGGGGATTAAGTTGGTCCAACAGAGACCCTATGACTCATGAACCTGGAACATTCAATATCCAGCCATTTAAGGAAAAGGCTGTCAACCTCTGGGGTGGTTTATAATTTTCTTTAGATATGTCTTTTCAGCCTATGACTTCATGTGATCAATGCAGATGCTTAATATATTTATAAAATAAAATTCAGTAATCTACATGAGATACATGTGAAAGTATGTTAGTCACTCAGCCATGTCCAACTCTTTGTGACTCCAGGGGCTGTAGGCCACCAGGCTCCTCTGTCCGTGGAATTCTCCAGGCAAGAGTACTGGAGTGGGTTGCCATTTCCTTCTCCAGGGGATCCTTGTGACCCAGGGACTACACCCAGGTCTCCTGCATTGCAGGCAGATTCCTTACCGTCTGAACCAATTATTTATTTCAAGTAAATGGAATACTTCATTCCACTAGCATGTCAGATAACAATGTACTATTACCCAAATAAAAGTAAATCACTATAAAACTGCTACTTGAGAAATACACTTCTCATTAAATCATCAAGTATAAATTTAGTTTTGAAACTACCATCACTAAAAAATTATATTTTAAAATAGTAAAATGAAAAAAAAAATTAGCTCCCAAATCACATCCTACAAAATAAGGAAACTCTTTATACTTACTGGAATCCAGCTATATGGTCTCCCTTAACCTCTGCTTAAAGGGTTTCTCCTATAATTCAATATCAAATAACTATAATAAAAAGAGGCATGATACAGAGAAAAGAATGCTGGAGCTAAAACTAGACTTGATTCTTTCTAGCCTTGCAGTTACTAGTCACAAAACCATGGGCAAGATACTGAATTTCTATATGCTTTAGTTTCTTCAGCCTACAACACTGTGCATACATTCTAAAAACTATAATCAGTACAAATTCTTATGCAAATAAGTATGAAAATAGAATCTGCTCTCATGAATATGAAAGCATTAAATTACAGAAAGTAGATTCAGCATTCTATAAGGTGAAACACAATCCCACCCACTTAATTAACTGTACACTAGGAATATCCTAAATGGTAAGACATGACCCAAGACAGATTTCTAAAATTCCATTTTGTCCCATATTTAAGTTCTGGTGCTACCACTTGCCTGTTGAATGGAACATCTTGAAGAATTCGGTCACTGCAAAGTGAAAGGAGGCAATTCTTCTGTAACTAAGAACCAAAGAGAGAGAAAAAAAAAAACCCTGAATAAATATTGCTTTGTTAGATTCTATTTTTAAAAAAAGACATTTATAAAGCATAACATGTCTTAGAACCTTTATTCTGCTCACCTATGGTTCAAGGACTGACTTCCACTGGACCCACATAAGTTTACTTGCACATTTTAAAAATCTTTTTTATTAGATGAGAAATAGGGTGATAAACTGGATAATTCCAGCTAATCTCCCTCCCTTCTGGTGGCCTTTGGATGGGTCCTGTTTTGTCTTCTGTTCACCTGGCTTCCAGAGTCCATGAAAACCAAAGGCTAAAACTCATCTAGTTTGGCAGCTATTCTCAATGAGGGAAGCTGGCTTTAATGATCCACTCACCAATCTGGGTTGCCAATTTTACTTGATTTTGGGTCTCTGAGTATTTTCTACTAATTTTGCCAACTCATTGTTAAATCTTAAGAGTTCAAAATATATATATAACTATATATATATAATTAAAAATATAATTCCAGCAGCATTTTTAGTTTTCATCCAAAGAACAGGATAGGTTTTATAGACTACCTATACTGCTAGAAACAGAAAATCCATGTCTTATTTATTTCTCTATTCCAGTAATTAAGTACTGAGTACTTGAGTACTGAACCAATGCCTGGTTCAGAGCAGAAGCTCTATGCCTAATCCTGTATGCTGAAATGATCACTAACTCAAGGTCTGGGCGCAAGACGTTTTACATGGCTTCAGTCTATGTTTGGACTGAAATGCTTTTAGGCGAGGAACGCATTCTTCAGTATTCTACTTGTCTATCGCCCTGCACTCAGTCACACCACAAAACATATTACTTAACAGCCTCCAAAGGAATTTCCAGCTTTGGTCTACTAAAATGAACTGTATGGAGGTAGGAGATGGGTGGTAGACACTAAAAAGACCATTTGTATGTGAATTCCCACATGCTTGCCTGCTGGTGGTTGGGAAAATGTTCCATGGCTTTGAGCAGCAAATGGGTCACATCAGCCAGGAGTCGGACAGGCATTCCTGCAGCAAGATCCTGCTTGGTTAAATTAAACACACAGGCGCTTGCAGCAAGCTGCACTGGCAAATTCATAGGGTGGTTTCTCATCCCAGTAACCACAAGCTGAAAAAGAAATGAGTTCTCTGAATCCAACTTATAAAAACATGTAAGCCCTCTTCACATAGCAACGGAGAAGGCAATGGCAACCCACTCTAGTACTCTTGCCTGGAAAATCCCATGGACGGAGGAGCCTGGTAGGCTACAGTCCATGGGGTCTCGAAGAGTCGGACACAACTGAGCTACTTCACTTTCACTTTCATGCATTGGAGAAGGAAATGGCAACCCACTCCACTATTCTTGCCTGGAGAATCCCAGGGACAGAGGAGCCTGATAGGCTGCCGTCTATGGGGTTGCATAGAGTCAGACATGACTGAAGCGACCTAGCAGCAGCAGCATATAGCAACATTACTCTGTTGATCTGTAATAATTTCTAAGATATCTTAAGTATATTTTTTATCCTTATGTGCAGAGCCTAGGACATAATAGTTATTCACCTACCTGGTCAAGGGAGGTGTCAAGTTGTTCATGTCCAGAAATTTTTCTGTAATGTTAATGAATCTTTTCTATTCAGAGAAAACATCTTAGTATTTCCTAGATATAGTTCAGTCTGGCCTGTTTTATGCCAAGCACTAAACAAATTCTTACTGACTTGTCAGGGAATGTTTGACGAGAGGATTCCTGTGCTGTCTCTCATGAGTCCTTTGTCCCTCTTCAAGCGGAACAGCACGCTGCTCCCAGGGACTGAGGTCATTGTGTGAGGCAGGCTTGGGTCTCCTTTAGTAAACATTCTCTCTAGGACAAAATGCTTAGTCTCGTTCCCCTTTCTTGAGATATGGATTGTCTCCTGACCTTGTGACTAACATTACCCCTTGTTCCCTTGGTAACGGTTGCTGTACGTTTGGTTTTCTGATCTCTATCATTCCCGGAAGAAGTTTCTTGTATCGCAGCCTATATATACTCATAGGAAAACCATTAAAGCACCTTCGCTTCATCAGAGCTTAGGTCCCGGGTCTTTTTTGTCTCTCTCTCTCTTTCTCTCTCCCTCTCTCTCTTTCTGGCTGACTCTCTGGAGCGTGGAGACCCGTCGTGCTCACTTTTCTGCCCGGGCTTCTAAGACCCCCTCGAGAGGGCGCCTGGTGCCTTCGTGAGCGATGCAAGTCCTGTGTCAAGGACTTTATTGGTCCTCAGCGTAAACCAAGGGATATCAGCCTCTTTCTCTCTTTCACTTTCTTATCGTCGACTCCGTACCACCAGGTTCCGGTCCATTAAAGGACCCCAACACTGACTTGAATGGAGTAAACCAGCAGCAAGCTTCACTTTCAAATCCCAACATTCAGTTCCTTAAGAACACTGCTAAAATTAAAATATAATAAAATCCATTTACTTCCCTCTGGCCTAGATAACTACTTCTCTCCTTTTCCTCTCTCCTCAAATCCCCAACAAATCCTCCCCATTTCTCATTAATGGCTAAAGATCTTACTTCCAGTTACCCTGAGAAAACGGAAAGTGAAAGTGAAGTCGCTCAGTCGTGTCTGACTCTTTGTGACCCCATGGACTGTAGCCTACCAGGCTTCTCCATCCATGGGATTTTCCAGGCAAGTGTACTGGAGTGGGCTGCCATTTCCTTCTCCAGGGAATCTTCCCGTCCCAGGGATCGAACCCAGGTCTCCTGCATTGTAGACAGACACTTTACCCTCTGAGCCAGCAGGGAAGCCCTGAGAAAACTGAAGTAACCATAAAAGAACTTCAGATTCTGGCTTTTACACGTACCTCCTTGCCAGCATACACATGAGCAATTTCTGTCTGCCTGCCTGTTACCATAAATGACCTCTAGGGGCTCCTCTCTAAAGATAATCACTCCACTTAAATGCTTGATTCTTCCCTTCTTGTCTACCCAAGGACACTGCTTCAGCTGATCTCCCCTTCCAACTCCTATACCAGATTTTTATTCTGTAGTCGATCATTCACACAGCACACAAACAAGGTATTTTTTTCTCCCATCTAAAACAAAACAAAACAAAACCCACACATTCTCAGCCAACTACCACCTTTTTCTTTTGCTTCCTTTTGCAGCAAAAACTTCTTAAAAGAATCACATTTCTCTCTGCACCATTCTCTGAATGAATGAATGAATGAGTAAATATTTCAGATCAGGACTACAGGTCTGGTCCTTTGTTACTCAAGTGCACAGTAACCAAAACCAAAACATGATAATGCATATACCAAGCACCAATATCCTCTGTATACAGGAGGTGGCAAATGTTGCAACCAACATCCAAGGAATTAAACGTTACTGCTTCCTATCCAAACACCCCATTCTCAAAAAATTTAAGAAACCAGGAGGTTAAGTCATTCTGGCTCTGCCACTAATTTATTGTTACTTAACCTCACAGACCCTCAAGTACATAATCTGTAAAAGAGAAGATAAAACTTCTTTCTTGGGATTGTTGTGCCCACTAAAAGAGGGACCAAATATAATATACTCCTATACTCACTGGTTTCTAAATTAAATGTGTATAAGGATTATCTTGAGGGATTATTACAATGTAGATTCCTGTATCTTATCCAGCCCTACTGAATCTAAGTTTTCTTGGAATGAGGTTCACAAATATGTTTTTTAAAATAAGCAATATCTCAGACTTCAGGTGGCTAGAGGACCACATTCTGACAAAAAATGCCCCACCCAATCAACAAAATTAAGAATCCTCCTATTTTTTCCTTCAAAAACTGTCTTGGGTAAAATATCTTAATTGGGGAATAACACAGATTAGTTACAAAAGCACAAGAGGTTCATAAATAGCATGGAAAAGTGCTTTATAAAATCCCAATATTGTATTTCTTTAAAAACCATATATGGAAGCAATACATGGCTAATATACCAAGTAGTGTCCTGATTCGAGTCATATACTCTATTTTCTACTACAGCTGGTAAAAAGATACCACACTGATTACTGGTTTTAGATAGTTAAATATGAACTTGAAGGCATTTATATTGCTTAAATGAGATTACTATAAAACTTCAGTAGCACTATTCAATTATCTCCTCTCATTCTCATTTATGGCTAAAAACTGAATTATATATTATCAATCTTATTAAAAAAAAAGACTAAATGCAGATTTTCACCAATTTTCTTCACAAAACTATCATCTAACTAGGAAGATAATTTCACACTTCTCATATCCAGTTTCTTGTTCTTACCTTTAAAATTTCTGGCTTTGTTTTTTCCATCACATGAGTCAAGCTAAAAAGGTGAAATAGAGCTTCTCGGACAAAGAAGGCCCGTTCACTGTATCTCTTCAATGCTTCTGCAATCTGAGTTTCATTGGCTTCTCCAGACACCTTTGAACACATCCAGAAGATGAGCTTTTAGGATACTTTTCAACCCTCTAACTGTCTCTATCCAAACATCATTTGTGTGGATGGCATCTAGGATAGTTATGTAAAGCTTGAAACAAATGGCTATGATTATTTTCCAACCCATCCCGAAAAGTCATCCTGTGAAGGTATACATATGCTAAATAGATATATATTAGATTGGATCAGATCCTAGAATAAGTCTATGGGTAAAATTATACTGTACCTAAAATAAATCTCAAGATATTTAACTCTATTTATAAGGGAATCCCAGGGGGGGCCGCACAGAGTCCGACACGACTGAAGCGACTTAGCAGCAGCAGCATGATTAGGCTTCTACTGCCTCTTAAGGTAACTCTCTCGCCCTAACTCACAATTTAGTAATGACAGTGGCCTTTTTTTATTTTTATAGCAATGGGTACATGTCAGTCCAAAACTCTCAATCTATCCCTCTCCCCCCGACAACCTACACTGACCTTTCTGATCTTTCAATAAGTCCAGCTCTTTCCCAGAAAAAAGCTACTAAGTATAATGTCCTCTCTGAAATTTTCCTCTCTTTCTTTACCTAATTTCTATTCATCCTTCTCATTTCAAGTTAAATAACACTTTGTTAGAGAGGTCTTCTCTGGCCCACCAATCTAAGTCAGGTCTTCCTGAAACATCACCTTCATAGCCATTATCACAATCCCCTTAGTAGACTGATCTATTCACTGTACCCCAACAGGCAGCACTGTGTGTGGCTCAGAATAAGCACTCAAAAAATATTTATCAAATAAGTATATTAATTGATTCTCCCAGATTTATCAAGCTCCCATTCAGCACTAAAAAATTCTGTTCAAAAGTAAATGTATCCTGGAATTTCCCATTTATACAGGTTAATATAGTTATGTTAAACTGTGGTTCATATACCACTGGGTAGCCAAAGGTATATACCAAGAAATGGCTTTTTGGAATAGTAACCCAGCAATAAGTAAAAAAAGCAATTATTACAGTATCACCATGATCCTCAATGAATTAATGGAACTAGGTGTTGAAGGTCAACAATTGCTAATACATCACAGAAAGAAAAACAACCAGACATTATGTACTTCCTTAATGAAAACGTAAAACCTAAGCATCCTGCCAAAGGGATTAAACATGAGTTTGACTAAGTCCTCACATCCAGCTACCAATTTGCAGAAAATACAGTCAATATGCACCACAAACATACAATCAAGAAAACCTAAACTGAGGGCAAGTCTACAGACCAAAGGGTCAGATTCTTTAATACACAAAGTATAAGGAAAAGAAAGGGATGGAGAGGGAACTTTATAAAAGATACTGAAAAGACGTATGATTTTGAAAAGTGGGCAAGATTAACTAAGTGCCTAGATGTAAATGGTTGGGCTGTAAAATTATTTAAAACAGCAAGGACATGATTATCATTAGAGTCAGGACAGAGATTACTTTTGTGGGGAAGAAGGAAGTTGTGATTAGGATGGGGGCATGTGAAAGAGCTTCAGGGTAGCTGACAAGTTCTATTTATTAACCTGAGTGATGATTTCAAAATGGTAAAAAATAAATAAATACAAAAAACACCCAAACCCTACTGTTCAGAGAGGTATAATCTTCTCATTAAGGTGGAAGACTATCTTTTTTTGGCAGCACCATTATAAAAGGTGACACAAAAATAAATATGTTTAAAGTATATTACTTAGTAATAACTATGTTCATATGGGTAAGGAATATGCAGCTTTGAGAAAATGAAGGGCTGTATCACAGCTAACATGTCAACCATTGATAGGATATGCTATAAAGGTCTGATAAGAATTAGACTACAACACAGATGTGTGTTCCAAGTGACAAAAAGGCATATACTGAGCATTTGTAAGACTGCAGGAATAACAATGGAAGTTTCTTTACAAAATATTTTTTATACTATTTATGGTGGCTCAGACGGTAAAAGCGTCTGCCTACAACTCAGGAGACCCGGCTTTGATCCCTGGGTCGGGAAGATCCCCTGGAGAAGGAAATGGCAACCCACTACAGTACTCTTGCCTTGAAAATCCCATGGATGGAGGAGCCTGGTAGGCTACACAGTCCATGGGGTCGCAAAGAGTCAGACATGACTGAGCAACTTCACTTTCACTATTCTTTCATGTATAATACAGGCTTCTTTGGAGGCTCAGTGGTAAAGAATCCGCCTGCCAATGCAGGAGACACAAGAGATGTGGGTTTGATCCCTGGGTGGGGAAGAGCCCTCAGAGAAGGAAATGGCAACCCACTCCAGTATTCTTGCCTGGGAAATCCCATGGACAGAGGAGTCTGACGGGCTTCAGTTCATGGGGTCTCAACAGAGTCAGACACAGCTTAGTGACTAAACAACAATAAGAATGTATAACATACATACATAAACAATGATTTTGACTATGTATTCACATATATAAGCAGTTATTGAACAATAAAAATTTTCCTAATGTTCAACTCTTTTTGAATCACCCTGAATTTTTTCTTAGATTTTCTTAGATTTGGAAAGACACTGAACTATTAGGAGAGCTAAAAAAGACTATAAGAGGAAAAACACATTGACAATAATCTTCATCAGACTTCATTTATCCACATTTGGTTGACTCAAACAGCTTTACAGTCTTATATAAAACGTAACCTCAAGTTACCTTTAAATGTAAAATTACAGAACTTTTGTTACTGGAATGTAAATAATCTGAACCAAATTTCATCACCTGTATATTTATTCAGGGATTAACCCTTCTTGAGCCCCTACTCAAATCAAGCAATCTGGCTCCTCAAACTATATGCAGCTTCAATTCAATCAATTTCACATGCTAGATCAAAAAGAAAACAACAACAACAACAAACACACACCTATCTGTATGTACTAGTTTCTGCAACCTATTTAAAACAGAAAAAATGTCTTTTACCACTAAGTTAAACCTTATTAATATTTAAAATATGGATAAAACTAAATGTATATTCTAAGGAAAGACTTTCTTGTAGCACTCAGCACATAACTCTATTACAGCATTTCTCACAATTGATTAAAGCTATTTTTAAACTGTTCTGTCTCTTCTCCACTGGATCAGAATTCCTCAAGAGCAGAAGCACTAGCTCAGACATCTTTAAAAAGTACTTATGAAGTCTTAATTCAAGGGAGAAGTCTAGGTTAGAGATATAAATTTAGGATGATTCCTAAATTGACACAGACATATAGATTTGGGGCCTGAGAGATTTAGGAAGAATCAATAAAGGGAACTGAGAGAAAGTCCAAAAAGTACAGAAAAAACAAGGTCAATCTGATATCCTAGAAACTAAGTTTAAAAAAAAAAGAAAAGGTATTTCAAGAAGGAAGACAAGATCAACTGTGTCAAAAGGCATTTAGACCAAATGAGACGAAGACTGAGAATACTGGCTTTAACATATAACCAGTGATTCTCAGGAACGAGGCAGCCAGAAAACCTAAGAACTTTAACTGCGGAAGAGCGGAAGGTTGAGGAAACTGATGGTTACAAACAAGCAAATAAGGTAGGGAAACAAAGGTGACAGAGTCAGTAATTCTATGTAAGAAAACCCTCTGTGTTGGGACTAGAAACAGAGAGTAAGAGAAAGAACTAAGGTTCTCAAATATAGGCAGAGATGTAGTAGAAAAAATACATTCCAAGCTCATCAGCTAGCTGTGATCCTTAAGAAAATCATTCCCTCTCACTGAGGACAATACCTCCCACACAGAGTCAAGAGATCAAAATACATAATACACAGAAAAGTGGAAAAATCAAATCTTTTGTTCTTAGAACCACCCACTAAAAGTCCCGGATAAGGCCTCATAAGGAACACTGGGCAGTCACACTGTCTCTACTTCCTGCATCCTTCAGTGTGGTCTAAATAACTGAGGCATGTAAAACCAAAAGTGTCAACCTAAACTAATTTAAAGCATCATAATATTAAAACAATCATTTCAGACCCATTTTTCAACTTTGCTAATCTGGAAAATTCTAAAAAAGGAGACAGAGCAATCTCAGCTCTCTTCTCTTAACATGACCTATTATTTTTCAACTCTCAAATCAGTAGTCAAACAAATAATTTAAAACAAACATCAATTTTTATATATAGTTGAATAAAGGGCAAAGTTCCAAAGATCTCTATTTTTTTAAATTATTTTAAAACAATGATTGTCCATTTTAGCTACATATTAAAATCACCCAAGGAGCTTTTAAAAAAACTGATGCCTCAGTCCCACCTCCCTACAGTTCTGATTTAACTGCTCAAGTTACCTAGATGATTTTTTAAATTAAAAATTTTTTCCAGCTTTATCAAGATATATAATATTATAGATACATAATGACAAATACATTAAGTAAGTGTAATGTGTAAAATGATGATGCTATACATGTAAATACTGCAAAATGATTACCATGATACAGTTACTTAACATATCCATCATCTCAAATAATTATACTCCAGGTAATTTTAATTACAGTCAAGGTTGAGAATCACTGTATTTACAGAAGTGGAAACTAGATGACAGCAAAGTAGGCGTTTTCTAGAGTCAAAATTTCAAAGCAATGATGTTCCATTTGTAAAATCAAACTTGTTTCACAGAGGCATTGTATAACATATATTTTCTACTAGCCTCAACTAAAACCTTGGGCTAATTCACTCTAGGGTCTGTTGGTGGTAAGAACAATCGGCAAAAATCATACTGCTCGGGAATCATAGCTACTGGAGGATCTTTGCCTTGAGAAGATTACTTAGTGCAGTGTGCTAGGGACACATTCCTCTCATCCTTGAGGACACAGATCAAGCTCACCTCCTCTGAGAAATCCTTCCTAAACTCCCAGTACACAGAGATTTCTTCCCCTTTGATTTTCACAGTTCTTTACTGACCCATTTCTTTGGCCGACAAGTAACACTAACATGGTAATTTACATTTTTATGCTGCCTTTACCCACAAGCCCTGTGCTAGAAACTTACCTTGTTTGATAACAAGCTGTTATGTAAGTTCCTCACACTTGCTGCCCTGCACCTGGCTCATGTGACTCTGCCATTTCTGGCCCTAGCACCTGCTTTTTCCAGCCTCATCTCATCACTCTGCAACTTCCTACTCTAGAACTCTAGCCACAGTGGCCTTCTTGAAGTTCCTTGGATGTACCATGTTCCTTCCTACCATACATCTTTTGCTGTATTATTCTTGCTGCCTGGAATTTTCTCTACCAAGTTACTCATCCATAAGGTCTTCACTCATTTATCAAGTCCTCAGAGAAACCTTAAACTAAGTCGGGATTCTCTGTTAAACATACTCAAATACAGTATTATGTAGCTTTTAGATTCTTAACACTATGCAATTTAAAGCATATATATGTGTGCATATCATGTATTAATATATAGGTTTATGATATATAAATACATATATTGAAATCATACACCCATGACATATGTATGATACTTCACTGTCTGAATCCCTCACTAAATTACAAGCTCCATGAGGGCAAGATCACACCATTTCACTCCACACCACCATTTCAAATCTCCATGTCTAGCACAGTACAAAATATGCAGAGGTACTTAATAAAATATTTACTGAATGAATGAATAAAAAAGTGACTTAAAATAATTTCCTACATTCTACTATTTAAAGTCTAAATTTACAAATAATATAAGAACTGACATGTTTTAAAATGTTCTATAGCTAACCTTTCCTTCTCCTTTTTTGAGATCGATACTGATTGCTAAAAAAGAACCCTCCTGCACTGTTGGTAGGAATGTAAGTTGGTACAGTCACTATGGAAAATAGTATGGAGGTTCCTTACAAAACTAAAAATAGAGTTGCCATATGATTCAGAATCCCCTTCCTGGACATATATCTGGAGAAAACTGTAACTGAAACAGATACATGCATCCCAAAATTTACAGCAGCACTATTTACAATAGCCAAGATATGGATGCAATCTAAGTGTCCATTGATAGATAATGGATAAAGAAGATGTGGTGTGGTATACACACACACACACACACACACACACGAATACTACTCAGCCATAAAAAAGAACTCAATATTGCCATTTGCACCAGGTAGAATCAAATGATGCTTCAACTTAAGTGGTTTGGTCCAAGTAGTAGAGGAAAAAAAATGGGGCTCTGAAATTAGACAGATGTAGAGCCAAACACTGGTTCTAGCTAACAGTAAATCATAATTTCTATGTTTCTCATCTATAAAGTGGAGTTAATATCAATCTATAGATATTACCATATACAATATAAGGCATTTATAGGATACAATGTATGTTAGAAAAATACTAGTTGTCCTTAAGTTTGTTACAGTTCTATCCTTCAAGGTCTGATTCAGATACCATCTTCCATCAAGACCAAAATTCTCCAGTGAGAAAAAGTTTCTCCTACTCTCCTACAGCAACTATACTGATCCTTGGCTTTAGAGTTGTTTGTGATCATAACACTACTACTACTAGCAGGCTCCTTGGAAGCAAATCCTGTATCTTTTTTATCTTTCAATCTCAAGTTGTACCAAGTTCAGTAGATGTTTCCCAAATGGAAGTTAAACCATTACGCACGAGAAGCCTTAAGGAGAGAAGGATTTTACCATTTTTACAACAGAGATCTCCTTGGAGAACTTACTCTCCCATTAGATACTCTTTTCTACAAAGGAGCATTCCTAGTTTCTTTGAAGTGATCCTTTAGATATGATATGTTTAAGTGGTTCAAAATATCTAAATATTATCATCATGAGAACTATCATTTATCCAGGGCCTACAACATGACTTGCACTTTATATATATAATTATTAACCTTCAGAATAATTTTTCAGGTAAGAGTCATATCTATTTTATAAATAAATGTAAATTGAAAAGTTACATCATAGTTTGCTCTGGGCCATGAAGCAAATAATCTGGAATTTTAATTTGGACTCTAAAGCAAGGCCTTTCCACTATATAATGTCAGGTTTCATGAATATGATCTATATATTATTAGACATTCACCTTAATGGAGTCTTATGCAAACTAAACATTGGTCAGCCTGACAAAGGAATATATTTTTAAAATCTAACCTTCAAATGTCCTTCGCCTGTGAGGAATTCAGAGTAGCCAGCATCAGTGGCCAGCAAACCTACAAACTGCATGCTGGGCCGTTGCTGAATAAAAGCTTCAACAGCTTTGTCTGTCACATGCTTCCTCCCAGAAACATCCAAGGAGACGAGGTTGGGCAGGATGTCCTTTTGTTCTAGTAATCGAAGAGCTATGTCTGATGTAAACTGTTTATCATCTGAAATATCAAGATGATTCAGGTGTCTTAGTTCTCGAACAACATCCAGTATCTGGGTAGTTGTCATTTTTAAACATTTCAAGTGATGCATGGTTAAAGACTTGAGTCGGTCTTTGCAGGCCAGCAGAGCCGTGATGTCTGTGATCGAGGTGTTAGAAATATCCAGGCTCTCTAATCTTGGCAATGAGGCAACTTCAGCCAGGTCTTCATTGTAAAAGAGAACATTGGTGATGCTTAATGCTCGAAGGCCAGAAAGTCGGCTAAAGCACCGCTCATAAGGATCTTCGAGGGAGAGAGTTAATGAGTTCAGCACGAGGCACTGGAGATTTTGCTGGATCCATTTGTTACTGCCAAGCCCACTGATGATGTCTGTAATCGTGATGTCAGCATTCACACCTGTGGCATCAAGTTCCACTAACTTGTGGTGGCAGAAGGCTTTCCGGAAAGCAACAGCAGAGATTTTGGCTTTGCGAATGCAAGCTCGTTTTAAGCGCATCTGGTTGCCCCTAAAAATACCTACAGTTGCATCATTCAGGAGACCTAGGAAAAAATAATCAGTACTTTAACTTCAAAAAATGGTTAAAGGATAGCTAAAATTTCCAGCATACTTTACACTTCCAAAGCATTACCATGTAACAGTATTTCATTTAATAGACATAAAAATTCAGTGAGGTAAGAACGTGATTATCTACAATTTATAGATGAGTAAACTGGGGTTCAAAAAAGTGGTCTTCCAAGAGCACAGAAATAGCACATGGCAGAATCAGGACTGTGTTAGGTATTACTGCTATTCACTAATATCTGGTTCTCCACCCATTACTGGACACATGCACAGTTGTGTTTTCCAACCTATCCTTGGATTTAGATGGGGCTACATGCCCAGTTCTAGCCAAAGGTATACCAGACCCAAGTACAAAAGTATTATGAAAGCAAAGAAAAGGAAATAATTTACCATGCCTGGAGATCTGAAAAAGACTCCATGGAAGAGATGATCCTTGAGACGGTCCTTCAAAGATGAAGGAAAAATTCAAAGATGGAGAAAAAAGGTGAGGGTAATTTAAGAAGAATACAGGGGAAAACCTAGGTATGAGTGGGAACATGGTTGATTTCTGAAGATTTACGTATGGAAGTGGGAAAAGACAAGGAATAAGGCTAGATCACTGAAAGATCAAGAGAAGAAAGCAGGCCAGCTAAAGATCTTGGGACACAAAGAACAATGCGGTGGAGTTCCTGATTTTTCCCCTGTGCCATATATCCCAGACTTAAGCTGGCAATTGGGAAACACCAACAAGCACACACAAAAACAGCCGCTCCCCTGCTGGGGCCACAAAATCTGCTCACTCTAGCCAAAGTACCAGGAAAAGGGCAGCCTAGCAAGGGTAAATGTTTTGTCCCCCACTTGACTTCTGTTGACACCTGAGACGTAGTGCTCCTCATTATGGCTATGCAGGGGGTTGGTGTTCTGGTTCATCACTAGGTCTCTGGTGTTTGACTGAAGCAAAGTGATTACTTTATCTCAGCACATTTGCTGATGTGGATGAGGGTGTCAGAGACATAAACAAAAACCTCACCCTCATCCACACCAGCAAATGTCAAGAGGGGAACCTAGACTTTCACTCCTGCTATAACTAGTTGCCACAATCTCCCCTCAGAGAAGTGTTAAGAGAAGGTCGAGTATGGAGCCAGGACTTCCATGTCCATCTGGCAGTAACGAGGTGCTTCTCCCTTTCCGAGCTGGGGTGGTATTAAAGGAAGCCTAGTGGAGAGTTGAGACTTCGTCAGTGCCCAACAATAAGTAAGGAGGTCACCTCCCTACGACATGCTGTCAGTGGAGGCCAAATGAAGAAGAGAAATGAAGTACTCACACGGCTCTCAGCTAAGGAGGTTATCAGTAAAGAACTAGTGGGGAACCAGAACGCCAATCCCCTGCAGAGCAGTAATGAGTAATGAGAAGCACTCAGTCTCAGATGTCAACAGAAGTCAAGTGGGGAACAAGAATATTTATCCCAATCTGGCAATAACAAGGCACCTTCCACTGCTAGAGTGGTGTCAGAGACACAAACAAAAACAGCAGTCTCATAACACTATATCCAAAATGTCCAGATTTCAATAAAAATTCATTCATCATACAAAGGACCAGTAAGATCTCAAAGTGAAAAAAGATGATAGATGTCAACACTGAAAAATCAGCAATGTTAAAATTATTTGATGAAGGTCTTAAAGGAGCCATCATAAAAATGCTTAACTGTGCAATTACAAACAAGCTTGAAACAAATGGAAAACAGAAAGCCTCAGAAAAGAAGAAGTTATAAAGAAGAACCAAAGGAAAATTTTAGAATTGAAAAATACAATAATGGTTGCATTCTACAACAGAATAAAAGGAACAAAGGAAAGAATTAGTGAAATAAAAGATTAAAACAACAACAACAACAAAAAACCAGACACTATCCAAATCTAAAGAACAGGAAAAAAAAAACAGACTTAAAAAAAATTTAAACACAGCTATTTGTCACAGAAAGAGTGGAGGAATAGGGCAGGGTTGAAAAAGTATTTGAAGAAATGGCTACACACCTATTAAAATGGCTCAAATAAAAAAATAATAACAACATCAAATGCTGGCAAGTATGCAGAGAAACTGAGTCAGTCTTCTATTGGTAAGAGTGTAAAATGGCATAGCCATTCCGTAAACAGTGTGGCAGTTTTTAAAAACCTAAACATGCAACTACAATAGGACCCAACAGTAGCACTCCTGGGCATCTATCCCAAAGAAATGAAAACTTACGTTCACATAAGACCTGTCCATGGATGACTATAGCACTACAATATTCATATTAGACATTACATTCTTAATAGCTAATAGTTAGATATTATATTAATAACAGCTAAACAGCATTATCTTTTCAGATGGTAAAATTCTTATTCTGATTCCTAGATGTTATATACACATTTCCTGGAAAATTTTTAGCAATGAGACAACAGGTACAATGAGCAAAGAGTATGACAAGAGAATCTTAGAATGAATTAAGTAAAACTCTTTAGTATCAGGCTTATTTTAATAAGGACTGCTACCAATATCATTAATCCTTTGAATTGAGTAAATACGGAAAATTTTTTAAATAAATTATTTTCTAAAATCATTGCACTATTAGAAGACTTATATTAGCAATTTTGAACGCATTCATAAGGAATTCCCTAGCAGTCCAGAGGTTTTTCTTTTGCAGTATTATTAGCAGTATCCACTCTTGACTGTTTGAAGGTGGATATGATTTTTACAAAGAGATTAAAGAATTCGTGCATGTGATGAAAAAGACAGGTAATCACATGGGGGAAAGACAAATGGGGCAGCACACTGTTTCTCTTGACCCTCACTTTCTTCATTTGAAGTCAGTTTGAAGAAAACTGGTAGAAAACACATTTTGATAAAGCATATAGCTTCCCAAACTCATACTCTGGAAGACAATTATTTAGTTATATGTACTTAAAAATTACTTTCATTATTTTATTCATATAAAGCATTCACCAGTGCCTGGTATATAATAAGCATTCAACAAATGTTAGCTGCTATTATTAATCAACCATAGTTATATTTCAAAAGGAATTAGGGAAAGTTAAAACTTCAGTTAACATTTATTCTTTATTTACAAGACTAGTTATATGTACAAATATTTAAACTGAACTTGCTAAGTGTAATCGTTAAATTGAGACCAGAAAGAAATGCTAGCACTAGCATAACCTTTTAAATCTTATTTGTAAGGGATCTTTCACTTAAATGTGGATAATACCTATTGAAATTTACCCTCATTCCTTCAGCAGGTTGGAAGAAACCAAAGAGACTACAGACTTGAGCAACTTTAGTGAAAACCAAGGAATTCAGACATCTTCTTCCTCCCACCCTTCCTTCAGACGCACTATCTGCATTTGTGTGTGCTCTCTCTTGTTTCTCTCTATATATAGAACACACACACACACGTATATCAAATAATGGGATATACTTTTGCTCTGACTTTAAGTATATATAATACGTGTATGTGTGTTCAGTTGCTCAGTTGTGGCTGACTCTTTGCAACTGGCATGGACTGTAGCCCACCAGGCTTCCCAGTCCATGGAGTTTTCCAGGTAAGAATACTGGAGTGGGTGCCATTTCCTCCTCCAGAGGATCTTCCCAACCCAGGGACCAAACTGAGTTTCCTGTGTCTCCTGCACTAGCAGGTGGACTCTTTACCACCGAGCCACCTGGGAAGTCCCTTCTAGTCCCTATATTTAATAAAATATAACAATTATAAACATATTTGAATGTATGTGTGGGCATATATATTTAAAGTCACAACAAAAGTGTATATACCATATTCAGCCATCCAGGAGCAAGAATACCTCTAATGTAGGAGTAGGAATGTTGTGCGGCAGCGAAAAGAAAACAGATTTAGAATAAAACAGATCTGCATTTGAACCAGGACTCTATCATTTACTAGCAGTGTGACTCTTAACAGGTTACTTCTCTGAATCTCAGTTTCCTTACCTGTATATGAACAGGATAAAAGTAGCTACCTTAGGGACTTCCCTGGTGGTCCAGTGGTTAAGACTGCGTGCTCCCAATGCAGGGGGCACAGGTTCAGTCCCTGGTTGGGGAACTAGACCCCACAGGCTGCAATGAAAGCTCCCACACACGGCAACTAAGACCTGGCACAGCTAAATAAATGAATAAATATTTTTTTAAAAATAGCCACCTTATAAGTTTTTGAGAAAATTCAAGAAAAGTATAAAATGCCTGGCATTAATATTACATGGAAGAGGCAGTTAATAAATGATAATTATCACTATTGCCATATTTATTCTATTTTATAGTTGTGGAAAAAATTGTATTTCTTACTTGTAAGAGTTTACACACCCTAAATATATAAAGGGATTGAATCTTTCAACTTAGAACTTATACATAGGTAACAAAATTCTCAATATATTGTGCATAATCAGAACTTCACAGATAAATCTTTCACAATTTATTTTCAGAATTTGTTTTTGAAGACAGAAGTAATACATTAGCTATGATGTCCTGTTTCAAAGATCAAAAGCATAAACTAGTTTTTCCATTATAACCTTAATTGATTTTCTTGCTGCCAAATAACACTGTAAGGTATTTTAGACCAGCTGACTTCCAAATGGCTATTTTGGGAGAGAAGCTATTTTTGCCATGCGAATAGCTTCTCACAAAAACAAAATAGAAGAAACAAACAAAAAAAAGGACTTGCCAGGTTAGAAAAGAAAATGCTTATTTAAATTATACTATAAGTGGCAAGGTAGGCAAAAATAAATGAAATCTTTTTTCCTCAATTAGGCTTTTCTGTTATTTCTATGAAAATAATCAAATGGCCACAGCAGCACTTCAAAATCCAATGCTAATTAAAAGGGCATAATTTTTGTTTCCTCTGTTTATTTATTACCATGAAAAGCCATGGTCTGAAGTAGCCGATCAGCCACCTCCTGTGGGAATACTCCAGGTTCCTGCAGACACAATGTTCCATCTTGTCTTGCTGAGCAGAACTTCTCAAGGTGAGTAGTCAGGAAATTCAAGCAGATATCAAGTAAGGAATAAGGAGATGCCTCCTCCTTGGATCCCAGGAAGAAACAAAGGGAAAACCAAAGCCAACAAGTTAGTTTCCAGAAAAGTAGAGAACAAAAGATTCATTTACTTGTTCAACAAGTACTTTTATTCAAGTGTCTACCATGTGCAAGATACCATGTTAGGCAGTGGGAATACAACATATGATCCATAATGTTCTCAAGAAGCAGAAGAGAAACATTTAAACACATTTTCACTAAAAGTCTATTAAATACTATAGTATAGGATATATTGGGTAATCATGTAAACATACAGCAAGGTATCCTAATCAGTCAAGGATGGTTAGGGAAGATGGCACAGAAGAGTAATCTTCCTAAATTACCATCCCAGGACACTCTACTGCTCAAAACATCAGTGGGATGCATGGGCCTGAACACGAAAGAAAAAAATCTTACCGATCGTTAAACTGATGATGCCCGAGTCCTTCCAAAATCTAGCCCCAATTTACTTTCCAACTTGATCTCCCACAAAACTCCCATCCCAACCTAACAATTCAAATATAATCAGTTTATTTGGAGGAAAGAATGTGCTACAGGTGTTACCCTCAAAAAAGAAAAAAGGTTAACGCTGTTATTCCAATCTGAGGAATACAGAACTAATCAAATAAGCACAAAGATTTAAGTATAAGGGTTTTGATTACAGAAATAAACACTCTTTAAGGTCCCTAATAACAGTAATATAACTAAAATATAATTATAGCAGCTACCATCCATTAGGTGCTTTCTGTATGACTCTGCTGAGTTTAATATAAACTATCCATTATTTCAGTCATTCCTCACCCCTACTTTACTAAGTAGTGAAGCATTATTTTCATTTTTGTATAACTGAAAACTGGCTCAGAAAAGTAACATCTAAGTATTCTACACACAGTAACTGACAAAGTGTAACTTCAAATTAAAAACTGACTTAGGGGGACTTCTCTGGTGGTCCAGTGGATAAGACTCCGAGCTCCCAATGCAGGCAACCCAGGTTCGATCCCTGCCACAACGAAGACCTGATGCAGCCAAATAAATAAATAAAAATATCTTAAAAAAAAAAAATATGACTCAGGAACACAACTCTTAACCATATTAAACTGATACTACACATGTGACATTTTAATGGCTGAATAATATGCTGCCATTAAAAATTATAGTTCAAAGATATATTATGCAAATACAAAAATATTCGTAATACAAGGTAAGTTTTTAAAAATACATAGTTTATAGAACGTCCTCAACCTGATAAAAGTCATCCATTCATTCTGATCCATTCATATTCACGGATCAGAAGACAATATTTTTAAATTGATCTACATTCAGTACAATCCCTAAAAAATTCCAGCTTCTTTTTTTGCAGAAATTAACAAACTGACCTAAAATTCATATGGAAATACAATGGACCTAAAATAACTGAAACAATCTCTGAAAAGAACAACAAAGTTGGAAGACTCACACTTGTCAGTTTTAAAGCTTACTATAAAACTACAGTAAACAAAGCAGTATGGTACTGGCATAAAAATAGACACATAAATCAATGAGATAGAATTGAAAGATCAGAAATAAACTCTTATATTTATGATCAGTTGACTTAAACAAGGCTGTCAAGACAATTCAATGGGGAAAAAATAGGCTTTTCAACAAACAGTGCTGGGATAACTGGACATCTACATGCAAAAGGATGAACACGGGGTCCTTCCTCATAGCACATATAAAAATTAACTCAAAATGGATCAAAGGCCCAAAGGTAAAAGTTAAAACTATTAGGTTCTTAGAAGAAAACACTGGTATAATCCTTCCTGGATTTGAATTGGTGAGTGACTTCTTAGACATGATAACAAAAGCACAAACAACCAAAGAAAAAAGCAGATAAACTGGACTTCATAAAAACAAAAAAACCTTTGCATCAGAAGTCATCATCAAGAAAATGAAAAGAAAACCCAAAAAATGGGAGAAAATATTTGAAAATCATGTATCTGTTAAGGGATTTGTATCTAGACTATACAAATAATTCTTACAACTCAATTATAAAAAGACAACTCAAAGACAGGCAAAGGCATAAATGGACATTTCTCCAAAGAAATACAAATGACCAAGAGTCACATGAAAGACATTCAACATCGTTAGTTATCAGAAAACTGCAAATAAAAATCACAATGAAGTAATATCTCACACTTCCTATTAAGGCTATAACCAAAAGACAGATAAAAACAAGTGTTGGTGAAGAAGTGAAGTAACTGGAACTCTCACACCCTGCAAGTGGAAATGTAAAATGGTATAGCCACTTTGGAAAACAATCTAGCATGGGCTTCCCTCGTGGCTCAGTGGTGAAGACTCCTGCCAATGCAGGAGACACAGGTTCAATCCCTGATCTGGGAAGATCCCACATGCAACTAAGCCCATACAGCACACCTATTCAGCCTGCCCATTATAGCCCAGGAGACGCAACTACTGAGCCCACATACCACAACTACTGAAGCCCATGCACCATACAGCCTGTAACAAGAGAACCACCACAATGAGAAGCCCAGGCTTCTGGGCTGGAGAGTAGCCCCTGCTCTCCACAACTAGAGAAAAGCCCACACAGCAATAAAGACCCAGCACAGCCAAGAACAAATAAATTAAAAGGTTTAAAAAATCTAGCAATTGCCATATAACCTTGCAATTCCACTAAATATATACTTAAGAGAAATGAAAATGTAAGTAACACAAAACTTGAACATAAATGTTTACAAAGGCTTTATTCATAATAGATGAAAAGTGGAAATGGCCTAATATCATCGACTTATGAATGGATAAACAAAATATGGTATACTTACACAATGAAATACTATTCCATTGTATTATGGAACCACAGATGGATCTCAAAAACATTATACTAAGTGAAAGAAGCCAGTCACAAAAGACCATATAATGCAGAATTACATTTATGTGGAATGTCCAGAATAGGCAAATCTATACAGACAGAAAGAATGGTGGATGCCTAGAGCTAATAGAGAGGAACGGTTGTAGGAAAATGATAAGTAAATGCTAATGGGTACATAGCTTCTTTTTGAAACTGAAATATTGAAATATTTGAAAATATTCTGAAATTGACTGTGTAGTTGCACAACTATATCAAAAACCACTGAATTAAAAAAAAAAAACACACACTGAATTGGGTACACTTCAAATGGGTGAACTGAATGGTATATGAATTACATTTCAATAAAGTCACAAAAATTAGTTTACAAAACTATAAACATAAAACTGAAATAAATACATCAAAATATTAACAGTAGTTAACTCTGGGTAAATTGCTAGCAGTTATTTTATATGATATGACCTGCCTCTTGAGAAATCTGTATGCAGGTCAGGAAGCAACAGTTAGAACTGGACATGGAACAACAGATTGGTTCCAAATAGGAAAAGGGGTATGTAAAGGCTGTACATTGTCACCCTGCCTATTTAACTTATATGCAGAGTACATCATGAGAAACGCTGGGCTGCATGAAGCACAAGCTGGAATCAAGATTGCCAGGAGAAATATCAATAACCTCAGATATGCAGATGACACCAGCCTGATGGCAGAAAGTGAAGAACTAAAGAGCCTCCTGATGGAAGTGAAAGAGGAGACTAAAAAAGTTGGCTTAAAATTCAACATTCAGAAAACTAAGATCATGGCATCTGGTCCCATCACTTCCTGGCAAATAGATGGGGAAACACTGGAAACAGTGACAGACTTCATTTTCTTGGGCTCCAAAATCACTGCAGATGGTGACTGCAGCCATGAAATTAAAAGACGCCTGCTCATTGGAAGGAAAGTTACGACCAACCTAGACAGCATATTAAAAAGCAGAGACATTACTTTGCCAACAAATGTCCGTGTAGTCAAAGCTATGGTTTTTCCAATAGTCACGTATGGATGTTAGAGTTGGACTATAAAGAAAGCTGAGCACCGAAGAATTGATGCTTTTGAACTGTGGTGTTAGAGAAGACTCTTGAGAGTCCCTTAGACTGCAAGGAGATCCAACCAGTCAATGCTAAGGAAATCAGTCCTGAATATTCATTGGAAGGACTGATGTTGAAGCTGAAACTCCAATACTTTGGCCACCTGATGGGAAGAACTGACTCATTGGAAAAGACCCTGATGCTGGGAAAGATTGAAGGCGTTGGGGAGAAGGGGATGACAGAGGATGAGATGGTTGGATAGCATCACCGACTCAATGGACATGAGTTTGAGTAAACTCTGGGAGTTGATGATAGACAGGGAGGCCTGGCGTGCTGCAGTCCATGGGGTCGCAAAGAGTCGGACACAACTGAGCTGAACTGAACTGATCTTTACGAATAAATCAAATTTTCTATATACCATGTGATTTCTAGAATTAAAAGTTATTAAAAGTTACATATTTTACAGTTTACAAAGTGCTTTCACACTGACACATTTGATATTGTAATAACTGAGTAAAGTGGACAACAAAGATATTATTTATAAGATGAGAAAACAGACCACAAAAGTTAAATGGTTGGCCCAGTGTAACAGAGGCTGTGAGCTACCAACCATGAAATTTGGTCTTCTTTTCTTCCATGTTAATAAACCTTTTATTTTTACTTGGGCATAGGACCATCTGTAACAAAGGTCATATACCCCTCTCTTCCCTGCAGCCAGATGTAGCTAGAATACATAAGAAAAAGTTCAGAGGAAGTAATTCTTCAAATTCAGCTTCTGCATCATAGAATTTTGCATTGTGTTGTAAGTACGAATTCTTCCTGCTTTTTCTACTCTTCACTGTACCATCTTTCTAAATGTTTATAATTCATCACCCAGATGAAACAAACTACCCTTTGACCTCAGTTGGTAAGTTTCAAAATAATCTATTTTACAAAAGAAAATGAATGAAAGCTGGGTAGCTGTCAGAGATGAGACATGAATTCTCTGAGTACATAATATTTAGAAGTTTTTAACAGACAAGCCCAGGGAAGTAATATATGAACACTTAGAATACTGAATTAATCATTCTAAAAAATTT